GTACCATATTTTGGGCATTTATTTAGCCCCACATGCTCATTTCTATATGATATGCAGACATTAGAGCAAGCATGTGATTTTTTTATACACTAAACTCATCTAAACAAAAATTTTATTGGCCTTCTTAACTCATTTGAAAGTAAATTATATTCTCAATGTTGTCACTCAACAATTCAAGTCACTCAAGGCAACTAGCATTTGTCCACCCATGTCTTGCCTTTTAAGTTTATCTATTTTAGTGTGTGACATATTGTGTCTATAACTATGCACTGCATCATCCTCACTATCATTGTCTTAGTATGAGCAGTGTATGCTTTGTCAAATTGTAGTTAAGCTTTAAAAGCAGCAACCCTATTTGCTGAGACATCCTTTCTTAAACCTCTTTTAGTATGTGTTTGGAAATGTTACAGCTCAAGCGGTTCCAAAAGAAGCTCGTAAATTAAAAACTTGCATTTAATTTCTCAAATTACTATTCACTAGTTAATTCTAGGTTTTTGTCTAATTTTAAAAAATCAGAACTAATTATAGAAAAATCGCATTGAGATGGTTTAAAATTCAATTTGAAACTCTTTCAATTCTCTATAGAGAAAAAAAAAATACAAAACTAGATTTGAAGTTTACTATTCATTTGGCTAAAACAGTATTTTTCATATTCTCTGCTCTAATTTTGAGCGATCATAACTTTTAGCGCACATATCTAATTTACGTGATTTATCACTTTTATAAAGCTTAGGATATGCTCTAGATGATCACCAAATTTTATGGACAGATTTGTTCATTTGCCTCACTTTCACTTTATCACAAATTTGTGGCTCATTTAAGGATAATTTATGTCCCTTACTTGTATTAGCAATTCATAATTAATTATTTGCATGCATGTAACCTCTCCAACAATCCATGCAGTAGTTCCATATAGCATTAGTATTATACTTGCATTTGCATCTCATATCATCATCAAATAATCTAATGCACATTAACACATAAGCATACACATCAAGCACATAAGAAATGCAAGTTCACTACCTTGTGTCTTTAAGCTTTCCTTTTATCCCAACCACCAAGATTGCTTGAACAATCTTGCCATTCCTCTTTCTTAATGTCTCATGACCCTAAATTCACAATACACAATGATAGCCAATCTATTAAGACCATGGAAACCATTAATAACCCTAACTTCCAAGCTTGATTACTCTTTAATCCTAACTTTCCACTTTCTTAATCTTGATTCCTAAATTCATTCTCTTGGCCATTCTCCCCTCAAATTCTCATGAGGAATTCAAATTGAGCTTGAATTTAACAAAATCCAACTCTTTTTCCTTGAGTTTCATTTGGCCGAAAAGTATGCTTTTTTTTTTTTGATGAAACATCAGGGTATCCACTGGCGAACCCGGTGACTAATCCCTTCGCTAGCTTGTAGGCACCTCGATGGGTGGGATAGCTGGCCCGGGGTTTTAAAGTTTTTCCATGCCCAAGGCGTGGATCGAACCCTCGACACTTGGTTAAGGGAGGATGAGCCCCCACCGCTCAACCACACCCCCCGGGTTGAAAGGTATGCTTTTAGGGTCTAAAAATTCCATTTTCGATTATAATGCTTCCAAACTTTTTTTTTTCCGAATAACGCTACACCACTTTTCATTTTAAACTCAATGGAAGCATCAAAATCATCAAAGTCCATATTGCATTATATATGCTTGCCAAGGAGGGAGAAATACCTTTGCCTTTGTCCCCTCATTAAAACATTTAATAATATTTATTCAAAGTAAAGTTGACCAAACTCTCTCTATCTGTCCATGACTCCGAGAATCTGTCTCGAGGTACCAATACTACCTTTTCATCATGGGGAATTTTTTTAACTTGTCTTAAGTCAAAAGTCAACCTCTAGATAGTTTATTTTGACTTTCTCCGGATAGTACATAAACAAGCTTTAAATTCTATTAAAGCTATCCTCTTCACTTTCTGGGGACAGAATTATTTTTAAAATCTGTGATAATTCCTCAAGTATTATCTCCTATTTTTCTCCAATTATCTGAGACCTCTTCATATTTTAAATAATTCAATTTTGGCTAATATTTGTAATTAGCCAAAAGCCTAAGAATTTTATCAATTTGCTTCAATGGTATTTTCATCATTTTTAACCCTAGACAAGCCTTAAAACCTCCTTTTCCATTTTTTTAGAATTTTTGGGTGTACTTTTCATCATTATCCTTTTCAATTCAAAACTTCTTAAATTTATGTTTAGGTCCCTGCTTGGGTTTAGCCTTAGGAATCATCTCACTGAGGTTCTCAGCATAACCTTTAGCCCTTAATCATCTCTAATTCTATTACTTGAACCTTTGAAACTTTGTCAAAGTCTCTAACTTGCCTATCTCACAGTTATAGAAAACTCTTACTTTGCGATTTAGTCCCTAGGAATCTTCTCGTCCTTCTAGAGAATTTCTAAAACTCCTATTAAAAGGGATCCAGTAGCCTACCCATTTCAGACTATTTTTTACACCTTTAAACTCAAAATTTAGGATGTTACATTTGCCAAGATATCGGGAGGGTCAAGACAGGCAATGATGCTAACTAAAAAATCCAAATCACTAACACAGGGGTTTTTGTTAAGATGGTGAACATTAGATGACCGTATGGTAACTAGCTCTAATACTAAATTGTTTAACATTAAACCTAGAAAAATAAGAAATTAAAAAGGAAAGTTTAAGGATAATAAATTTATTAGGTAATTGAGGTAAGTATCTCACTCACAACTTTCTAATAGCCTAGGAGAATCCCCAAATGCTAAGTGAAATTACTCTCTAAAATTATTTGATGATTTATTCAAAATCACAAGAATTTTTTAAGATAATAACTGAACCTAAAAATAATGATTGAACTAAATGTTCACATCCTTATATCTTTCTCTAGATCATTTTCTTCTTATTGAATAAGTCAACAATGGGCTTGGGGTCTTATCAAAACCAAGCTAACCTGGTTTGAAAAAATAGCCTGAAAATGGGAACTTCATCGATTAGGTGAGACTAAACAATTGGATATGACTGGACACAAGACCGATAGTTTGGACCATTTGGTTTGGCCTGAGCTAGGCAGTGTTTTTTTCAAAAATATATGTAAGTGCCGGCGCGTGTAATTAATTAATTTGTTCCAGTTAGGCCTAGCAACGCATGTAATTTACTTCTCTCTCTTTATTCCACAATCGACATTTTTTGTCCTATTCCCTTCCTCCCCACTCACTTGGCCATCGCTTGTGTCTACCCTTCATCAACCTTTCCCTTTTCACTAAAGTTTCAACATCTCCAATATCCACTGTCTCTAGGTAATATCAATCCCATCCTCCTCCATTTTCACTTCCAAGTTTAAATTTCACAAAGATTTTGTCATCGTTTTCATGCTCTCTGTTGTTTTGTCATCATTTTCATGCTCTATGAACCCTAAATCAAAGTGCAGAAGGTTTCTCTCTACTTCTGAAGCTCTCTCTTACTGTCTTCACTTCTTTCTTTAAGAGATAACCCCCTCTTGATAAACTATGCAAGGAGTATCATATCCCTAATTCCTAACGGTATTTCATCCTTACAATTCAAGGAACGATTGAAGAAGGTATCCACTCAATAAAACTCTCTTAAACAGCAAAATGAGTACAATGAAGCACGAATATTCAAATGATAAACATAATGACATTTGATGTCATAATGAATGATAATTTTTTAATATGAAAGTAGAAAATAGTTAAAGCTCACATTTTAGCATTTTATGATCATTCAAGCTTAATAAAATAAATCTAAAGTATTATATTAATTAGCTCATTGAGAAATATGGCCGTTAAAGACAAAAACTATCCATTTATGTCCATTGCATATTTTTTTTCTAGATCATCAACTTGCTAAGTGTAAGGTTAACACGTGATCATCCACTGAAGCACTAAAATTTTTCTTTGTAAAACAACACGACAAGTTAAATAATGAGATTGATGATAATAATTATTGCTTTACCAAAAAAATTTCACAAAACACATTACTCTCTTCGTCCCTTTTTATAATCAACATTAGACTCCATCATGTAAATCAAAAAGTTGGTTAAAGACCATAAATAGGTATAAATTGAAAGAGTTTCTCAAAAATATCCTTATTTATAAGAGAGAGTATAAGAAAGAGAATAAGAAAATTATTATAATAAAAAGAATTATGAAAGAAAGAGAACATAGATGGAAAGAGATAATGGTTTGGGAAATGAGATCATAAAATATATTGGGTATTAAATAAGTAATGAATGGGGGCAAAATAATAAATTTGTTATAAAAACTTAAAACAACTTGCAAATGTTGCTTATATTTAAAGACAAAAAAAGAATGGTAATTGTTGCTTATAAAAAGGGACAGAAGAAGTAGCATGTTAAAATAGGCCCAAATCCATTGAGGGAAGTGGGAGGGTCCTGAAATATAATTTACTCATTATGAAAAATTCACACCCTCATCCTCATGCATGATGAAGTTACAAGGGTGCAGACAGTTTGTTTTTTCCTTTTGACAGTTAGTTTTTATACGAGCGTGAAAGTGCAATAGGTTTCTCCCTGATTTTGAAGCTCACTCTTCCTCTGTTCTGGTGTTATTTGTTGAGGAAACAAGAATAACTCCCTCTCCTGTGATCTAACCCTACCGCTTGAAGTTTATGATTTGCTATCGCAAACCCATATATTAGGATATCTAACAACAACTATTATTAAAATACCTAATAGTTGCTCTCCCATAGAAAATGCCTCAAGCCAAGAGTTACCAATAATGAAAGAAGAGATCAAAAAAATTATTCTTTTATAAAAAAGTGAAACACAAAGCAAAAATTTTCATTCCCTCTTTTTTCAGCGACACCTCACACCATTTTTTTTCAAGCTGCAAGCTTACTGGCAAATAGGATATATTGAAATGGTAAGGGCCAAATATTTGCACGGTTACTAGATAGAAGCAAAACTAGCGTCGATCAAAAACCCAGAGAACATAATGCAAAACCATCTTAAACCAAATAGAATTTAAAATGGAGAAACATTACTCACAAGGATCTGAACTCAGTGAGAGAGGAATTACACAAAAGGCAGTAAAAGTTCATTCTATTTGTCTATTCACATTTTACAAGATTGACAGACACTTGGAATACAAATGGTGTGATTCTATGAGGCACAACCGATCTCACAACACACCTAAAGCCTACTATTATTACTCTCACCAATATTCAAAATATCAAAGTACTATTCACAACAATACTACAGTTAACTTTGCACAGAAGAGGGGAAAAAACACAGCACTACAATCAACAAGTAAATAATTACATCAAGCAAACGATGCATTCCTCGAGACATGAGACAGAGCATCCTCAAACTGGTCATCGTCCACCTTGTCAGAACTCAAGCATGGAGGAACGAATGATCTAAAAATGAGTTCCATGTTGGGAACTTCTTTGAGATGATGGGCAGCAGCCTCGAGCGCGGGCTTCTGAAAAGCCGGGTAGAATTTCTTGGCACAGACAAAGCCAAAGAGTATAGACAGTAAAGGAAGAGGGATTAACAATGGCGTATAATAAAATTTATGGACTCCAAAGTAGCCCAGCATGGTAAGTTGGTATAGTATCAAAGAGGCCAATATGCGGTTGTGAATGTGAGGCCACATTCTTCCGTAGCTTTCATATGCAGGAACATACACTTTTAGTGCCTGTTGATCACAACAATAAGTCAATAACACAAACAAGCAAAAGAGAATTGGTAAATTGGGATATCTAGGATTTAGATCTAGAGATCAACTCAACAAGCAGTGACATTTATATGGTGTCTAGATTTGATTTAGACTATTCATATTTCCAGTTTACCTGATTTCGTAGTATAAGCCATCCAAGGCCAAAGTACACAACACCAAAAGGGATGATCAGAGGAGCAATAACAGAGTAACAGAGAACGATTGTCACAATTAGCATGTCGGCAGGAACTCTGGTTCCATAGCCAAGATCTCCTGGAAACCATGCTGCCTTCAACTCTGCTTCAGTTTTACACAGAAACTTCCTCTTGATATGGAAAATTATCAGAGGAACTATACGTGACAGTTCCAGTCCATAGCCAACAAAAAACCTGACACAAACAGAATAAGATAACTCAGCCAGTTGGATTTTCAGCTAAAAGTACTCTTGTTCATATGCATGTCTGAAGGGATACAATTTGATGTGTTCTGAAACACTCCAGGAACATCAAGAAAGCCATCTTATAACTCTAAAAAGCAAGACTTATAACTTTTAAGGAACAGAAGTGACAACTTATTGCAAGTTATAGGACATTAAATGTCTTTTTTTTTTTTTTTTTCAAAATAAACAGATGCAAAAGGAGGATACTATCTTACTTGAGAGCCACATAGGTCAAAAAGAAAGTGGCATTGTCAGGAAGATTACTAGCAAGCAATTCCACAATCTTGTTTGGGTTCTTCTCAATTGTCTTGAATGTTCTGAACAAGGTTCCTCCAATAGTAACTCCAATGAAAACATTCAGCACTGTAAAATAAAAGTATTTCCCTGAAGCTGCCCTAACCAAATGACTTTCAGTTGGAATCCCTTCCAATTTTGACAGAAAATAGAGAAACTTCGGCAACAAAGCCAGGAATATTATCAGTGCAATCTGAGGAAGGTATGCTTCCAAAACTGTCTTAATAATTGCTATCTTCACAACCGGCTTTAAAAATGGCAGTATCATCACCAGGTTCTTCAGAGTGGTCAATGCAGAAATGAATGTAATTGGAATGATGTAGAAGAATATAGTCAATGCCACAATGACGTACACCACATATTGCCTCACTTCTCTTTCAAAAAACCTGATTTTCAAATTAGTCCATATAAGTTGGCCTGGTTCGGGAGAATCAAAAACTGTCCATGTGTCAACCATCTGTGCATGTAAACTCTGAGCTGCAGAAGATGCAGTCACTCTGTTGGTGAAGAAAACAATAGCAGCATTTAATTGCTTTTCTCTGAGCGTGACCTTTTGCTCAGATTCTAGCTTTGGGATCATTTCGCTGATTTTCTCATTGTAGTAGTCTATGCTGTCCACTTTCTTACCAATAAGACCAAGAAAACCAGTTCTATTTGTGGGTCTTGTTCCTTCTGGTTTGGCTGTTGTTTTTGATGCTGCATATACTGCTTCAGCACGTTCAAGCTTCTTCTTATATCCTTCTAACTCTTCGTATATTTTGCTCACCTGTTAACAGTAGACTTGAATGAAAACTAAGGACTTTCTTGACATACACAATGAAAGTGAATATCATGAGAAATAGAAATAAGCAATTTTAAGAATAAAGAATGGTCCGCAATGCAACAGTGAAAAAATTGGAAACAATGAGCATGCACTAAAACATTGTAGAGACTAAATTAACTATTTTTCAAACTATAGAAATCCAATCCAAATCTAAACCTTTAAACTATAGAACGTAAAATAATTTGAAATTTTACTGAAATAGGTAAAATTAAGAATTTCTCAGTCTTCCCTCGTGTGGATCATTGAAGTTAAAAGCTTTTTTTTTCCCCCCCCTATGTTACACATTCTCCTTCTTCAGAGTAACTTTAACTTCAAACGATTCAAATTACTCTTTCCACTTACTTTCTGTCTGTTTTATTTTAGATGCACATTTTCTGCGTCAATATGCCAATAAATCAGTATCTATATCAATAATTAATAATGCATAATCAATCATCAATAATTAAATATATATATATATATAATAGAATCCATAATAAGCTATAAACAGTGACTCAAGTCATATTTCCTATATAATACATGAGAAAATGTAATGGGCAAATGTGTAATTTTACACCTGATCTTATTTTTCAGGTACCACCCAGCACCCCAATCTTCTTCAGCAGTGCAAGAGTAAAATTGCACAAAAAAAAAAACAAAAAGAAGAAGAAGAAGAAGAAGAAGAGATATTGGGTAAAATTGCACCAAAAAGAAAAAGATCACGGGTAAAAGTGTACCACTAAAAAAATTGGGGGTGCTAGGTGCAGTTGAGAAATAAGATCAATGATAAAATTGCATCTTTACCTAAATGTATTCAATCTTTTTACTAATCTTCTATTAAATGCAGCAAATTCACAGCACATATACAGACAGATAAAAAAGTGTGATTGAGTGAAATGCATACCTGTTTGTTGTCCGTGACAACCATGGATCTGTAAAACGTGTCAGGATAGATGGCTTTGAAGTATGAGTCAACCTGTTCCTTCCTAGTCTGGCCCTGAGGAGGCGGGGGTATGTCTCTGACAACTACAGCAAACTGTTGAGACCTCACTTCAGGAGACCTAAGAGCTTCAGATCGCAGCCACGACACATGTTTGTATGCCTTCCATAATAGATATATTGTAACGATTGATACCCAATAGGTGGCAATAAAAAAAGCCCACAATCTTGGACTCTTTTCCTGCACATACAATGTAGTTTCAAGCATTATAATCACATTCAGATCATTTTATAGTTTATGTAGCTTAAAGTTGACTAAACTACACATGCTTTTTCACAAGAATTATGATGATAATTATGATAGAGAACATGCCAATTAAAATGTAATGGATTCAAAACGATGTTACTGCATAGATCAGGCTTATAAATTCTCCCGTTTTCGCTCATTAAATAATATATAAATACTAGAAAAGTTTCCATTAAATTGTCAAGTTTCGGTCATGAGCAGATGCTATCTTTTACGCTTTTAAAAACCTAACAATAAACACTCGTAAACTTTTAAATATGTGTGGAAAAAGCATATTTGACCAAGAATAATCAATATAAATATCAATTTATAAAGAAAAGCTACTGCAAGCCACACAATTCAAAAAGCTGTAACGAATCCAACTTCCAGCCTTAGGCTCCATTCAACACATGGGACCTGAGATATGGTAAGCAAAATCTGAAAATAATTGACAGCTTCAGTGCATAATACTACAACGGAGGACAAGATCATACTGTGATATTTCCCATAGATAACTTGTCAAGCTGATTGAAAGTGCCATTGCTTGTGGTTGCATGTGCATTAACCTCCACTCCGTTATCAGTAGCAGCAACAGGCAGCAGAACAGGTAGCAGTAAGAGGCCAGACAAAACTAGCATGCCCAACACTGCAACATTAACAACAACATTAACCACTCCAAGCACAGAAACTTGATTCACAAATCACAATGAATCTTAACTCAATGCATATGAAACTAGTGTGGGTCCTATACGTTTGCATATAACACGAGATAAGCCACACTGTTCATGGTTTATAAACAATGCAGCTTCCTATAACTTTTATGGATATATTGGTCATGGTCATTTCAGTTACAATGTGTTAGATTGGCTTGATCTCGTTGAATAGTGTGAGGAAGGATAAGGAATTTTGGGAACAGACTGGTACATCGATAATGGTCAGATAGCCACGGTTAAGTATGAACTGCTCATGGAACTAGCAAAAGTAAAAATTTAAGGTTCACTAGTCTCTTACTGTGGTTAAAACAATGGTAATTAAATTAAACTAAACTAAGAACAAAACTACAGGAAATATATTTCAAATTTCATCAATGATAAGAATATATAGAAATCCCGAGAAAAAGGGAAATAAAGATAGGAAGGAATAGAAATGTAATTTAAGAGGAAGAAGCCATTGGCTTTCTGCCTTCTTTATTATTTTTTTATTCAGGTACTTGAATGAATATTTTATAATTTAAAAAATAATAATAAGATCAAGCCAAGTTAGGTCAAACTGGCTAATAATGTCAGTGATCGGTTTGCTTGGCTCGACAATAATTCTTTTTGCCTTTTTTTTTTTTTTTTGCCTTTTAATTTTCGCGCTATACGCCTTAGATTAAGCTTAGTTCTCAACAATATAAAAAATGAAAGATAGACTTGATCCTGTGTTGAAACTGTCTCTTTTTTAATAAAGGATTTGGGAGTAGTATACATGTGAAACTCCTTTTAGAAATATCAATTAAAAAAATTTAGCAATTGCCTTTTAATTACCACTTTTGACTAAATTAGTCTTCAACAGTGGCTACCTGGCCTCTGTTCAGTTTTTTCTCTCTCTCTCTCTCTCTCTTTTTGGTTAAAAAAACGATTCATCAGAATAGAAGTAAAACAAACCTTGTGCATTAATTAATTATTAATTTTCACACCTAATTTCCTTTCTGCTTTTCAAAAGGATAAGCTTTTTGACCATCAAAGCAAATTCACTTAAAATAATAAACATTACTATTCTTCTAATTTTTTCCTTTAATTCCTAAAATCGAACAATAAGAGCACAGAATTCACCATCATAAAATTCAAATTAAATAAGGAAAAAAAAATCCAGTACAAAAAATTAAAATTAAGGAACAAGCAAACGACGAACCCGTGCTGAGAAACACAAAATAAACGGCAGTATCGACCCCGGACATGGCGATAACGTTCTCCTCCGACGACGACAAGGCCTCTTTGATCCAAGCAAAAGGATTCCGGGTCAAGGAGCTTCCTTCGAACGGGTCCATCCCCTTAAGGATCCGATTTGGGTAGTAAACGACATTATTACCGGGCTTGGCCGAGAGCCAAGCAAAGAGGAGCATCAAAACGACAAAAATGATAAATGAAGTGGCAAGTGAGGTCAAAAACGACGAGAAATCCATGTCGGTGTCCTTCGAGCTACCAGAACTCTAATCCACACACAGCCTCTACCTTCAAGTCGTTTCAGTTTCAGAAAGCTAAAATCAGAAGACTGAGTTTAAAACGGTAATAGTGGACGCTAAAGAGACGGATAGTAATAGAAGCAAATGGAAAAGGAAAACCGTTGAGAGAGAGAGAGAGAGAAGAGCTGGCAATGGCGGAGGCAGATGAGAGTATTGAATGAAGAGTGAGAGCGAAGGGTGTTGTGTGGGGTAGCTTGGGTTGTGGATTTGCTAGTGAATATTTAAAGAGGCTTTATGGATTTTGAATATCAAATACTCATTTAATTTAGGTTAGTATAATTTTTAATACCTAATATTTGTTTTTATTTTGGTTTTAATCTCTCAAATTTATTTTGAATTCTTTAAAAGCAAAATGGTCCATATTTTTATTGAATTATAGAAATAAATATTTTAAATAAAAAAATTAAAAGACTAAAATCTATTATTTAAAATTTAAGAGATCAAAATTAAAATAAAAATAAATTTGAAGCAGCAAAAACTGTGTTAACCCATTTAATTTGTTCGTGTTTTATAGGAGGATGGATGCCGACATGGAGCGTCTATGTCGACGGTGAATTATCTGGGTCCCCATTTGGTGCTCATCAGGTGATGAGCACCCAGTGCTCATCACCTGATGAGCAATCTGGACCCTCCAGATAATAATCTGGACGGTCCAAATTTAATATTTTTAAATAATTATTTTAAAATAGAAAAAACTATATTTTTAAAGAATGATAGTTAAGAGATTATCTTTATTTTTTATCCTATATCTATTAAAATAATTATTTTAAAAAAATAAAAATAAAAATAAAATCAGATCTGGACCATCCAAATCAGATCTGGACGGTCCAGATCTGATGAGCATTGAGTGCTCATCAAAACTGATAAGCACCCAATGCAAATCCGAATTATCTTGATCAGGAAAGTAGGAATGGTTCACAGAAAATTACTTCTTTATTAAATTAAATGCAGATGTCGTGTTATTGGAGATCCATTCAGGACGATTCCGATCTATCTTAGTTAGCCCGTATTGATTAAGAAAAAAAATCATTTTACAACTTATATTCTTTTCTCGATTTTTAATTGGATAAAGCCGTAATATCTTTTTCTTAGTCTTATTTTTCAAATACACTCAAAATACTAATTTTTTAAATGGTATAATTGTACTCATAATTTCTTTTTTATGCAATTTTACCTCTATCTTACTTTCTCATGTGCACCAAAATAAAAAAAAATTACAAGTAAAATTATATTACTAAAAAGATTTGAAAAACAAGGTCCGAATTAAATTTTCATTTTATTTTTCTACCTCTATTGTTTTTGCATGTATCTTTTTTATTAAAAGTAATTTTGCACTATCATACATACCACTCTGTTAAATTCTTTAGCTTTATTCTGGTGCGAACTTAATACCCTTAGTCTCGGTACAATTTGGATTCTGTTGATTTTTTGTTTTTTATTTTGACCAAACGATTCCCTTGATTGAGACAAATAAATAAAAAAACAAATAAAAATGACGGATCATGGCCGTGTCGACACATTTTTTTCCGTTAGAAGAAGTGATGGAACATGACGATGTGACGTATTTTTTTATTTAAACAAGAGTATGATTTTGGTTTGGCTGTCTAATTTTTTTATCAACCTAACTTTAAGAGAAAATGACACAAAAATGACATTTAAACTTGAAAATCTCAAAATAGATACTTGAATAAGCAAAATTTTAATTTAGACATAAGTGACCAATTTAGAATTTGTAAATTTGTTAAAATAACCATATTGCCCTTTTTTTTATTGATTTTGCAAAACCAAATACCCTAACTGACCGGCTAATCGCCGGAGCTCCGGTGCTGGTGATGATAGCCGAAGCTCAAGTGGCCACTGTCACCAAAGCTCCAATGGCTGGCCAATAATCGGTTGCCGAAATTCCTACAGCCGGTGACTATTTTTTTAAAATTTTTTATAATTTCAGTAGGGATAATTAATATATAAGTCCTCATAGTTTCAACCGGTTTTTAATCAAGTCCCTATAATTTTTTTCTTTTTATCAGGTCCTTATACTTTCATATATTTTTAATCAAGTCCTTATAATTTTTTTTCGTTTTATCAGGTCCTTATTGTTTTACTTTGTTTTTAATTAGATCCTTGTAGTTTTTATTTTTTATTTTACAAATAATAACATTTTAAAAATAATAAATTATTGTAACAATCTTATGTTAATATTCTTTTAAATTTTTAGTTAAACAAATATATTATTTATTTTCAATTCGAATTTTTATAATTATAAAATTCAAATTATAATACTCCTCCGGTCCTTATTATAAGACCCAATTTGACTTTTTATTTGGTCCTAATTATAAGACCCAATCCATTTTGTCTCTTATATTTATGCATTTCTTTCCAAGATAATCCTTCTAATAATGATAGTTTTAGCCAATATACTTAATTAGCAAGGATATTTTAGAAATGACAACACTTATTTATTATAAATAACCAACTTAACTTACTTCCTTAATTTCCTCAAATAAGTCAATTGGGTCTTATAATTAGGACCGGAGGAGTAATAAATTTTTTAAAAATTAAAATATGATTATAAATAATTTATATTTAAGTATAATTATTATTCTGATTATTTATTAATTACTAAATGATTATATTAATTATTTTGTCCAATTATATAATTATTAATTTAAAAATGAAATTAATTTTAAAGAATAAAGTTAATAAATAATTTTTCAAAAACTACAAAGCACCTAATTAAAAAATAAGTGAAACTATAAAGACCTGATAAAAAGAAAAAAAATAGAAGGACCTAATTAAAAACACATGAAAGTAAAAGGAGTTGATAAAAAGAAAAAATTTTATAAGGACCTAATTAAAAATCAGATGAAACTATAAGGACTTGGAGATTAATTATCCCATTTCAGTAACACGATTAACAAGTTTTGTAATACTATTAAGGTAAATTTGCAAATCCCAAATTGCTTACTTATACCTAAATTGAGATTTTGTTTATTCAAGTGACTATTTTGGGATTTTCAAATTTAAGTATCATTTTTGTGTCATTTTCCCTAACTTTAATATCATTATTAATTTCAAATGACAATTTTCACCAATTATTATTTTTAAAATTAAATTTAATCTGTTAACATTTAAAAATATTTTATTAACATTTAAAATTTTAATATTATAATGTTTTTTTATTAACAGTGTTATTATTACAGAAGTAAAAATTTATAATATTAAAGGTTAGAAATATGTATTATATATAATTAACTTTTATACTATGCATGAATATTGGGTTATTTAAATAAATAATAATAAAATGATATATTGTTATAAGTTATATTAATAATTACTAATTGAGATACTATGAAATGATATAATTTGTACTAGTTATTTAAATTTCATTACGCTAATAAAATTAAAATGAAGGCTAAATTATACAAAACCCTCATAAACTATGGGTCGATTGCATATTGTAACATCCCATATTTTAGATCTAGAAGTATCAAAACTAGCTTGAAATGAGCAAGTTACTAGACTCCTTTTAACAAGAATTCCAGGAGTTTCCTAGAAGGATGAGAGAATTTCTAAAGACTAAATCGCAAAGTAAGAGCTTTCTGAAACCCTGAGACAAGCAAATGAGAAACTTTGATGAAGTCTCAAAGGTTTAAGTATAAGAATTAGAGATGATTAAGGGCTAAAATTTGTGTTGGAAACCTCAGTAAGATGATTCCTGAGACTAAACTTAAGTAAAAACCTAATCATAAATTTTGAAAGTTTTAGGCAAAAAAGGACGGTGATGGGAACTACGCTTGAAAATTTTAGAAAAATTTTAAAAAATTTCAACAAAAAAAAAAAGGGAAATGCATGTTATATCATGTCATGTGAGGTTAATTTTGATGAAAAGAGGGTGTCAGGACTGTCCCAGTGTTACCGGAGTAAGACCCCCAAGAAATACCCAAAATAGTACCAGATACAACTTAAATCATAAATAGGTGAAGAAATAGCTAAGGATATAATTATGCACGAATTTTTCTTTATTTTTCTTCCCATTTTAATGCAAATTTGATGAAGGGATATGGATGAAAATGTACAACTTATTAAGGGGCATGCTTGGAAGAAATGGAATTATATAATAAAATATTATGCTTTCTTCACATGTAGAATAGGTGGCATATAATGTATCCTATGAGGTGGTACTTCCATTGAATAACGGGGACACCTAATGGGTTTATGTGGCAAGATTAAGACAAGTGTGCATGATAAAGGTAAATGATAAATTTAAAGGATTACCGTAATGTAAATTTAGATTACTCTATAAATACCCCCCCTCCCCTCCCATTTGTATAAGTTTCAGCCAACACAAAAGAAAAGGGAGAAGAGGGCAAAATGTGAAGAGAAGAAGGAGAAGAGAAAGAGTAAGAAAACCATGCAAGATTAAGCTCCAAGATAAGGTATATTTATGGTTTTTTGTTTAGTTTTCTCTTGCTATTTGTCAGGGCAAAATGTGAAGAGAAGAAGAGAAGAGAAAGAGTAAGAAAAAACCATGCAAGATTAAGCTCCAAGATAAGGTATATTTATGGTTTTTTGTTTAGTTATCTTGCTATTTGTCTTGTTGAGTTTAGCCATGGTTTTGATGGATTTTGGAAAGTTAAAATTTTAAGATGAGATGCTGTCCAAATGTGTTTAAGCCATGCAAAAGGTTGTTTGATGTTAGATTAATGGTTAAAAGGAAGAAAGGAGTTGTAATCAAGTGGTTTTGTGATTGAATTGGAAAGAATCCAACTTTTCCTATGTTGTGTAATATTTCAGCCCAACCTAGGATTTTTTATAGGATTGGATTTTAATAATTTTGATGCTTCTAATGTGTCTAGGATGAAAAACTGTGTGGGGTAAAGGTTAGAAAGCAAGTTAGAAAGCATTAGAATTGAAAATAGAATTTTTCCTTAAAACCCTATAGTGTTCGGCCAAGACTTGTTCATGAGGAAGTAGTTAGATTTTGTTTAATTTGAGTTTAGAAATAAATTCTACATACAAATTATAGGAAAATAACATGTGAAATTAATTTTAAAAAAATTAAAAATCAAGGTCAAAAATTAGAAGTCAAGTGATTTAAAGAAAGTAAAGTGTTGATATTGATGATGATCATGGTTCTAATGAGTAAAT